CAGGCTGGACTGATAAAGCAGGCGGTTTCGTTTGATCGTTTTTGAATTTGTATTCAGTTATAAAGGATTTCTTATTTGCTTCTTTTATGAAATTGTTACTGTAGTATGCACCTGACGAGATACAGCAAAATATGCAAGGCAATGAATTGTGCAATATATCGCTTGTGTCTTCATTGTTCAAATTTACCAATGGGAAACACTGCTTCCAAAAATTAAAGGACAATATATTTACATCATCCATATACTTAAAAGAGCGAGTCACAGTGGCGTAACGCCTATATGCTCGCCTGCGGATCGGAAAGTCGTTGGTTTGGGTCTTAAGGGAGCTGGATTTGTTTTTTCAGCACCAGGTGCCGAATGTTCTATACAATATAAGTCTACCCCTATATGTCCAATACGCATAAAGTCATGAAAGAAATACCTTTACTTTATATATTTAAAGGGTGTACATATTTTAAAGTTTTCTGAGATTAGCTGATGCTATTTAAAACAGTAGGGACCTCAGGGCTTTATATATCTTAGGGCCTCGTCAAGCATTAATCTGGCCCTGCACACCCCTCTTCACAATAGGACCGCTGAAACCACACGGGGAGAATAATGAATGAACAATGGACTGACTGAATGACGTTCAACTCTACCCAAACATCAAACCGAGCGATAAACACCCGGTGACACAAAGTGCCACCATTCGGATGAGGATCACCCGGGGACAGGTTCCAGAAACCCGTATAACCCACATGTTGGGTTATTTTAGGGATTCATGCAACAGCCAGAGTGGGGCTTTGAAACAAAAAATTACGTTTTACATTGGGACGTGGTCTTTTTGATCAATAGAAAAACCAAAGTAAACTTACTTTAAATCCACACTGAAATCCAGATTTAAGTCTTAAATTAAACCACAGGTTCGATGTTTCGGAAAGAGCCAAAAACACATTCACTTTATCACGAAATCTCAAAAACACATTTCAAGACAAACCAGAAACTAGTGTCATAGTTAGGCTCTAGCGATGTGCGAGCTGTGGTAAACCCAGTTTGCGTGAAAATGGCGCGAACAAAGTGTGGCTTCGTTTTAGACATTGCGGGAAAATTAGAGTTCCGAGAATATCAACCAAACAGCGGGACTGCTTTCATTTTATTCAGTTTATCGCGGATCCAAAACATCAGTGTAAATAAACTCACCAAGCCAAAAAACTAGACAAGAGACTTATTTTTGTGAAATCTGAGATGACTGACAGCCAGCATGTATCATATATATGTATATGTATAAGTATATATATATATATATATATATATATATATATATATATATATATATATATATATATATATATATATATATATATATATATATATATATGTACATACATATATTATCAGGTGCCTAGAAGACAGGTTTGGGCAATCATGCCTCTCCAAAATCTGCGATCTCCTGAAGCATTTATCTCTTTGTGTGCTGACACACCTCCATGTCATGAAGACAAGACTGTCAAGAATCTTTTCTTGTTTTCTTCTCTATCCCTCCTTCCACAGATCTTTTCACTGGTCACTTTTTTCCTCTTCTCATAACATGGCCGAACAATTATGACTGTCTCCTTCTGATGTATGTGATAAGTTGTCTTCGCGCTCCCGCCTCTTTCAAAGCCTCTTGGTTGCTTTTTTTTTGGCTGTCCAAGTTATTTTAAGCATTCTTCTGTAAAACCACATCTCTGAGGCCTCAAGAAATTGTTTGGCCTGCATACCGATTGCCCAGGACTCACAGCCACATGCTAAAACTGAACGTGTGTGGCAAGCAAGATTTATTTTTCTAACCTTCAGTGACAGAGAAATATAGCATAATTTGTTCTTTGTTTTATAAAACGCAGTTTTTGCCTGTCATATTATTATGTTTCTTATCTCAGTAATGCATTTTCTATCTGATGTTATACATGTGCCCAGATATTTAAATTTCTGTACTTTTCCCAAAATAACAACATCGACTTGTATTACACATTCAGGAATAATTCTTTTCTTTGATACCACCATTACTTCTGTTTTTCCATTCTTCAAACTAAGGCCCATTCTTTCTCTCTCTCTCTCTCTCTCTCTATATATATATATATATATATATATATATATATATATATATATATATATATATATATATATATATGTGTGTGTGTGTGTGTGTGTGTTTGTGTGTGTGTGTGTAAATAAGCAGAGGCTCCGTGGCGTAGCGGCTAAAGTCTCACCTGTGGATCAGCTGTACTTTTTTTTCAAAAATGACGTTAGCTTCTAGGTCGACCCAGTCTTGAGTGGATAATAGGTACAGTCCTGGAAAGTAAAGGCGACCGGTCGGAGTGATGCTGGCCACATAACCCACCAAGGGCCAACTGGTCTTAGAAATAGAATATCTAAATAAGGGACCCAATTTCACGTCTTTAGACGTACTGGGCTGGACCAAATGACATCGTTATTAAGACATCCACACATAAGTATGAGCGCCATGAAACAGATTATAAACAGCATTTTCATGCTAACGCTGGTTACCAGTGCCAGAATTGTAACCCTAACCCTAAACCTAACCCTGGACATTATCAAAGGCTAACCTTGGTAAAAATCAACAGCTGTGAACTGAGATACAGGAGAAGAGCCGCAGACTTAACCACCCAAGACAAAGCTTGAAGTGAAATTATCAGACAGGCTGTCGGAACAATACCATTCAGCGAATTCATTAAGCAAAGGAAGATCAACTGGTTTGATCATCTAGTCAGAATACAATCACAACAACTACCAGTACAGGCGCTACACATAAAAGGGATGAGGATCACCCGTGGAGAGGACCTAGAAATAGAGGACCTAGAAATCGCGTTCAGCCATTAGACCATATTTTAGGGTCGTGCTATATTGCGGCCCCTGGCAAGAGCCGGAGTAGGGCTTCAACTAACGAAAAATGGCAATCAATAAAGGAATGATGAGGTATTTTAAACATGCTAAATGTAGGCGAAAATATCGCCCTGCAAATAAAGTTTCCTATTTAAAGGAAATGATGATGATTTTAATTGAACGGACGTGACGTGGAAGCAAGAAGCCGCCACAGGAAAAGGTATGGATTGATAACATTAATGGGCTTCTACATAGACACCGAATGACAATAACAATGCTCCCCATTAAGAAATGGATCGCAAACTGTTTCTTTCCCCGTCGCGTAACGGTAGAAGTGGAAATTGATGACGATGATGGATACACACATCCGCTGCACGAGGAACTGAATGCACGTAAAGGCAACAGACTTAAACGAGGCCAGTCTTGGTTGGGCCGGGCAGAGACAGTACTTCTGTGGGTGATTTCCCTTCGCGACATAAGCCGTGGAAAGAGGAATAGATACCAGTACCAAACGAATACAGGCATTACTTTGTGGCGGTTATCACCCTGACAATACAGTGCCGTGATTTGGCGCCACCAGTAGTTGATAAAGAAGTGGAAGCGTTGGTGGTGGAACACATCACCGGAAGATGCTGTTTTGTGCAAATATGGTTCTGTGATTCATCAGAAGTGAAGTGCATGGGCTTTCGCGACAAAAACAAAGGAAAAATCATCAAAGAAAATAGTGGAGCCTATGCTTCTACCGCTACCAGGGTGACAGTGGAGGTCATAGCTGTGACAAAGGCTCTAGAATGGCTGAAAACTCAGGAGATGACTAATACATGCTTTCTCAGCGACTTACCTAGCATGCTACTGAAGATCAAAGCGGAACATACAGGGATACAGTAGCTTCATCTGATACAGTGTTTCGCAATATCACCTTCATGTTTGTCTCAATGTATGCTGGTGCGAAAGGCAATGAGAGAGCAAACATCCCGGTAATTAGTGCGACTGTTAAGAATGGACCATCTGTAGACAGGAGAGACATCATAAATTCCATGCGATTGACCAAAAGCTGTGAGGTTTACAGTTTCGCGGAAAATGATTGTTCCCGGAATAGACCGCATACCGTGAGTGTACCACCTGGAGCCGCGAGACAGGAAAATCATGCTGGAGTCACCCGTCCTTACATCAATCAGAACAGAATGGGAATTGTTACCCTAAAAACAATTGGAGAGATACTCAGGGAAAGATCGGGGCACTTATGCTGATGTCTGATGAAGATTAATTTTAAACGAATAGTGAAGGAGATATGATGAATTGTAATTATAACTTAATAGCTAAAAGGTAAGTGTTAAGTTGGAATGTAAATTCCCTTTTGTAATCACCCAACACATGTTTCTATAGCTCAACACAGAGCAATCTGAATAGATAATGACATCAGCCGGGCAGGAATTGTCATGATTCAGTTGCCGAATTTCTGATTCAGCAGTACCTGCAGGAAGATGTGAACCAACGTCCTTGCACGCGGTTATAAACCATATGTATTCTGCCACCAGTACTGAATAGCTTGAAGAGTACTGAAATGTTATGTCGATGCAGTGTAAGTTTAGGTCAGTGAAAATACAATATCTGTCACGGCAAATGCATATAGTTACTCAGTTGACAATATAACCGTTTGTTACTGGTCATTTGTCTTCTTCTTCTTCGCGTTCACCAGCTGTAAACTCTGGCGGAAGGTTCTGGTTGCTCGTCCACTACTGAACTGCAGTCCTGCTCCAGAACCTGAGTGTTGCGTGTGCATCAGTTTTACAGATCTCATTCTCTTGAATACAGACTGTTGGTTCCTTGCCTCTCCGGCAGATGCACTCCGACTTCAAAGGAAGCTCCCCAATTAGTCGACTCTTACGACATGCTTTTGGGGAGGCAGTGGGTCTATTCTTGTTTTCCCCACAATGGGGCCCCGGAACCCACACGGGGGTGGTCATTTGTGATCTGCCCTAACGGTTGAATTTGCTTTCACGCTAACATTATTTGTTCTCCTCTCGGCAGTCGGCACGTCACACTTTTAGACTCAATCCTCAGCAGACTTGACCCGGCCACAACTACTTCCGGGTGACGGATCTGGCAGAGGTCGATGCAGAGACGGACACTCCAAGATGGGGAATATGTGGTATACCTACATCTCACATCCAGATACAGCTCCTAACGTTAGGAACCCTCCAACTTTCGATCCTTTATATGGATTTCCAAACGGCAGGAAAGAAAGAAGTAAGATCTTAACAGATGTACCCTTTGCATAACAACATTCACGACACGACAGTGTTACTTTTTGGCCTTACTGAACTTACTCTTAACTATTTGGTTTTTTTTTTGGTCACAGTATACTGTTTCTGAAATAGAAGTGACAATATTATTGATATTTGTCGATGTAGAGTAATAGCATACTAATAATTTCTAAAAATGTGTGATGAATAACTATGAGTATCCCTGTCTGTCTGTTTATACAGTATTTTTAATGGGGTTTAAAAGAACCTTCCCACTTTCACTTTTATTTAACATTTATATAGACAGAATATCTAAAGTAGCAAGGGCTATCCTCCGAATAACTGTCCCAAATTATCGAGGCCGAAAATATACACCAACAGGGCCTCAGTCAAATGTCAGTTGCGGACTTCCGGGGACTATACCGCCACCGCCGAAATGCGGACTTCCGGGGACTATACCACCGAGAGTATCTCCCACGCCGCTACGCGCGGCATGGATTGGGGCTAAACTAGATGAGCAAATAAAATGAAGGAAGCTGCAGGTGATGTGGTAGCTGCTGCTCGTGAGTCCCAGCCATCTACTTTAGCCCCAATCCACGCCTCGCATAGCGGCATTGCAGATACTCTCAGCCATGGCGGAAGTCACCAGAAGTGCGCAATTTAAGTCACCGGAAGTCCGCAGTTGACATGTGACTGAGGCCCTGTTAGGGTATATTTTCGGTAATTTTGGACCGTTATTCGGAGGATAGCTGAAGCAAGTTCTGATCCAGACAACATACATAGAACTTTGAAGAAGACAGACTGCAAGATCACATTAACAGGTTAAACTCAGCATGCAGTAAATACAACATGAAGATCAATGCAAACAAAACCAAAACAATGCAGGTTAATAGAACCCCTGGCCCACTACACATACAGCTGAATGGTTTTGGTTTGAATCAGGTTAGGGAGTTTAAAAACCTAGAAAGTATGATCACGGAAGATGGTAGAATTGACAGAGAAATAGAAACCAGATGTCAGAAAGCAAGTGCACTTAAATACCAATTGTCACCTTTATTAAGACATCCAAGCATAACTGAGTGCAAAGAGACTGATGATAAACAGCATAATCTAAAGCCCATGTACGCAAAATCACCACTTGCGAGATGAGATGTCTGAGAAAAGCAGCCAACCTAACCATCCGAGATCAAGTGAATAATGATACTATCAGACAATTTGTGGGAATGACACATTGTACTAGATTCATCGAGAAACAGTAGATCAAGTGGTTTGGGCATCTCGTTAGAATAAAGCAAGATCAAATGCCATCACAAGCCCTACATTTTAGAAGATCAGCTACAATAGCAAAAAATGGATCGACAACATTAAAGACATTACGCCTTCATGGCACAATGATGAATAGAGTGTTTTGCTTTTTGAAAAAATATTTTTGTCACAGAAAAAAGATTCACTGTGAAGAAAATGTTGTTTCTTACTTCTAGTTTTTGGGTAATTCTAGGGTATTTATACTTTGTACTGCCGACTGTTGCAGACAAGCTCAAATTAAAGTGCTGAAAGCGAGGTAAACCTTCTGTAACAGCCGACACAAATTACCATCTTTATGAAGCCTTGGATACAGATAACCACAGAGGTTTGCGTAGGCTTGAACAAAATGATCACAGCGAGAGGAATGGTTCAAAGTGTTCAAGCAAAAGACAACTGTCGCCACTCAATTTGATCCTGAGCCATCCTCTCTATCTTCAGTTTTGTCCTTCGCGTAGCTTTGAGTTTCATCTCAAAAGTTCGCCTACAAGTGCCTCTGGGCCTGCCTCTTCCTCGCTGTCCTTGAGGTGTCCATTGCATTACCTGTCTCAGATGTCTCTTACTTCATTCTGGGGACGTGTCCAGTCCACCTCCATCTTCACTTTTTGATTTCTAAATTTACATCTTCTGTCATTTGTTGTAATCTAGAACTGCTGATTTTATCTTCCCATATGAACCCTAACAATCTTTTGAGAAGTCTTTCCTCAAATCCTCCGAACATGCTGTCTATCTTTCTGTCTGTTTTCCCAGGTTCTGCTCCATAAAGGAGAACTGTCATAACTTATGTTTTGTATATCCCGAGTTTAGTTTTAGGGCTGTAGATATTTGATCTCCAGATACTCTGAAGTCTATTGTAAGCAGCACTTGCATCTTGTGTATTTATTAAGTGTATATTGATGTCAGTTGTTGGTATAATTTATGTCCTGTCATTTCAGCCATTAAAGCGACAAGAGAAGAATTAGATCGAGCTAATATTCCCCTGGCCCGGCGAGACTACTGTGTGGACAACTGGCTGGAATTTCTCAAATGTCGACAGGATTATTTTCCCCGGGTGAAAAATTACTGTAGCCATCAGCTTCATCAGTGGGAAGAATGCCAGCGGGAAGAGTAAGCCCTGTTGTTTTGTACTGTAGATGTTTATGATTTGTTGGTAGCAGAGATCGTCGGAAAAGTGCTGATGGATTTGTAGACTGCAGGGGAGATGATCAAAGAGTGAGTTTATAGATGGTAGGGAAGTGATGAAAGCTGAATTTGTAGATTCCAGTGAATATGATGAAAGGATGAGACCGTAGATGGTAGGGAAGATAATGAAAAGGTGAGTTTATAGATGGCAGGGAGGATGGTGAAAGGATAAGTTTGTAGATGGCAAGGAAGAGGATGAGTTTGTAGATCTCAGGGAAGATGATGAAAGGATGAGTGTAGATCACAAAAAGGATGAGTTTGAACATTGCAGAGTATATGATAAAGGAATGAGTTTGTAGATGGCAGGGAATAATGAAAGGGTAAGTTTGTAGATGGCAGGGAATTTTATGGACTTTGGGGCTGAATTGGTTTGTCGATTGCAGGGAAAGTGATGGGCTTCTTGTCTGGGTGTGTTTGAAGACTGATTTGAAATATCTTGTGTTAAAAAAAATGTACCAGCTATGGGCTGAATCATAAATAGCTTGTGTCTTAACATGTCCTTTCACAGAAGTGTCACGAAAAGTCTACCTCACATTGTCACAAACAACAAGTGAAAGTTGTAGCTAGAAAACCTTCATCAGCATATGACATAAATAGACAGTGTTAAAAGTACAAAATAGAATGCACCGAATCACTTAACTGGGGTCTCAGAGAGAGAGATCTACATGTCTGTCTGGCCAGTTAACATTCCTAAGAGCAAAGTTTGTGTACTTGTCTTCTGTCTACTGATCTCATAAAACTCTGGGCAAAGCCTCAGATACCACCCCCTTTCCAGCAAAAACCAGGTTTTGGGTGTGTGTGTTTTTTGTCATGGTCAGAGGATGTCATCATCAAATGTTTTGGGCATGTGTCAGTGACTACCCCCAGATAGTGCACTACAGAGAGCTCTGTCACTTAGTCGCACTAGCAGCATCTACACAACACATGTCAGGGCTGGCACCCGAGGCCTCTTCAAAACCTGAAACTAAAAGGCAGAAGAGAAGAATAAGGGCATATAATAGCTAGAATGTTGAATCTAGTGAGTTGGGATATGAATGAATTTGTGAGAGTACAGTTTAGTTAAGAGTCGCCTTGGCATTGCGGGTTCACTCCCTGGCAGAGCCAGACTTTTTTTTTCAAAACTGACCTTGACTTCCAGGGCAGCCCTGCCTTGAGTGAGTACCGGGTGCAGTCCCAGAAAGTAAAGGCGGCCGGCGTGATGCTGACCACATCACCCATCTTGTGCCGTTTTGTCTACAAAAATATAGGTCTAGCACTATATGCCTGATGGCGTTGAAAAGGGACCTTTTCTTTACTTTACAGGTTAGGTACCCAAATTCACATGCTAAGCTGTTTTATAAAATCAGGTACTTTTCATACAGGTCAATGTCTGCCTTTGAACCAGTCTGTAGATAGACAGGTTTTATAGACACCTAGGCCATACACATTTGTCAAGCTTTTTTTCTGCCTAAAATGGCAGTTGGTACGGTTGTATTGTGATTTATAGCTAGGCTGCGATGTTTGTGCCTTTCCGTCTATCACATATGATTTCAGCAAACCGGCAGTTAGTCCCCTTTTTCAGCATGCTTGTTAAAGAGCAAAAGATTTTTTTTTTTTTACAAAAAAAATTTGGGGTACTGGGATTTGTTTCTGTTTTACTCTCACCTCAATAATGGCACTGTTGTGATTTACTGAGTGTTAATCTTTCATGTTGCAGTCCAAGATGGGAAATTTTTTTTCTTTTAATATACTGTTCATTCTGTAATCAGTATGTATTCCTTATGTAGAAATATCTTTTGAAATTCTCATCTTTTGGTGCATTTGTATTATTTTCTATTTTCAGTTCAATCTTACGAATTAAAGAATGGGAGAGGGAAAAACGGCTAAAGGAACGAGCCAAAAGGAAAGCTTGCAGAGAGAATCTAGAGGCTATGGCCGAATAGTGGTGTCAGTGTTTATGTTTTCTGTTCTTCAGTTAAACTTAGAAATTACATACTATAGGCTACAATTTTATAGACTTCACGTGATCCAGTGTAAATAAAGAGGGTTTACTTGTTGCGTCATTAGTTCTAGCATACCTGCAGTCTGTTGTTAATCCTTTCTGTTAATGTATGGGGGCTAATTTTGTGTTTCTTGGTGAACTATATCACACGTTTGTCTTTGTGTCCGTAGTGTTATTTGCATTTAGCTCAGAGACCTTCTTCTTCTTCTTCTTCTTCTTCTTCTTCTTCTTCTTCTTCTTCTTCTTCGCGTTCACCAGCTGTACACTCTGGCGTAAAGTTCTGGTTGTTCGTCCACTTCTGGACTGCAGTCCTGCTCCAGAACCTGACTGTTGCGTGTGCATCAGTTTTACAGATCTGATTCAATTGAATGTAGACTGCTGGTTCCTTGCCTCTCCGGCAGATGCACTCCGACTTCAAAGGAAGCTCCCCAGTTAGTCGACTCTTACGACATGCTTTTAGGGAGGCAGTGGGTCTATTCTTGTTTTCCCCACAATAGGGCCCCGGAACCCACACGGGGGACTAGAGACCTTCTAATGCCAGATTATATTATCTCAAACTTTTGGTGCAGTGGGTGGCACAGTGGCGCCATGCTTGCCTATCGACTTGAGGAATAGATCATTACAACAACCATGCCATTATCTGGTAACCTGTTAGTGTTATTCTTGGATGTTAAGAGTGGTAATCACAGTGCAGATGAGCACGGTAATAGCATAATGGCGTTTTAAATATGGCCACCCCACTTTTGACATGCACCAGAGAGGAGTGGCATTCTGTTATCCTTTTTTTTTTAAAAATCAGTGAATTGGTGAAACCAAGATAAATACATCAGAGAATTAAGTTCAGAAATTATGTTGCCTGCCTGTGGGTCCAGCAAGTGTATGAAAGGAGCAGGAAGTTCAAAAGGGCACAACTTCTGTCACAGACTGTTTACAACCTCATCAGGCATGCTGACTAGTGATCCCATGTAAACATACACTTTGATTAATCTGAGGGAGACAGACCGCACAAGAGCATTTTCTGAGTGCGGTAGAATGAGTTTTGGATGACAACCTTTCACCACCATAAAACATTTGTTACAAGATTGTCAAATTTGCAGACATAATTCTTGTATACAGTTACACCTATATCTGCGGTTATTTTCTTGTTGACGCCACACATAGAATACATTGGACACAATATACAGTATGTTCTGTTTTGTGAATTTGAAATCAGGAGAGTGGTTTTTGGTGAAGTTAGTGAGTGTTAAGTCCCTGATTTTGTATTGTTTCTTTAGAAGAGACATATTCGTGGTGCTCTCAGTTTGAGGGCAACACATGATTATGCACTACTTCTCGGATAATCATGAAGTTTAAAAATAAACAAATGTATTTTGTGTAATTCTAGGTTTGTCTTGCTTCCTTGTTTTAGTTTAGAAACATTTTGTTATTGTTCATTTCATCAACAATTATCAGAGTGTCCGAGCAAGAGTCAGACTTTTGTAGGGTTCTAATCACTTTAGGTTGTGAGTGCAGGGACAGGCCAGCTGGTGCTGCAGAAACAGAAGTTCAACAAATGATTCTCGACGATTCCTGCCCAAGTGATAGGATTATCTGTACAGATAGTTCGATGTTGAGAGGTAGATGAAGTGCATGGGGATTCATAGTAAAGTGAATCAATCAATCAATCAATCAGGTGCCGTCTCCACAATGAAGGTTGGCTGCAATGGATCTCCAACAAGCCCTGTCTCTTGCCCTTGATGTACACTCACTCATACTGCTGTTCGTCCATCTCTTGATGTTATCCTCCCACTTGTAACACTGTCTGCCTCTTGCTCGCCTACCTTGAACCTTTCCCTCTAGGATGATCTTTACAATACTGTAAAGTGAATAGACGTGGCTTAATGCAGCAAAGCCTGGCATATGATGTCACATCTAGTTTGAGAGTGGAGGTGGAGGCAGTCACTGCTGCCTTCCACTGGACTGAGAATCAGCCGTAAACACGTCATAATTGTAACTGACTCACAGATTATGTTGAGAAAGGTGGAGACGGGTATGCTCCACACAGAATGGCATGCATCACTTCAGATGTCCCGGGTAGCTGGCGTCCTTTGGATATTTTCTCTAGGTGATGCTGGTGGGTTGGGAAATGAGCAGGCAGTAGACTTGCTGGTTCTGTACCACTTAATGGGGAATTGATGTATGACAAGCCAGATGTTGTGAGGGCTGTTGGGAGCGAATGTAGAGTGCAGAGGCACAAATCAATCATTACGGTCTGAGGAGAATGGCTGCAGGGAGTTACCAGGGGATCTGACCGACGCTCAACAACCAAGGGAAAGGCAAGATGGATGTACAATCAGACAGTGACTGGTTCCATCAGAATTGGAACTCTTTGCTAGCTGCTGAAGATGGAGACTGAGCACTTATTGGAGAGTGCTATATTGATTCTTAATTCAACTTTTAACAAATATCCATGTGTTAGAAAAGCTGTCAGAATATAGTATTGTCATTATATCATACCTTGCTGATACAATACTGATTGCAGACATGTCCTGCATTGTTCAGTGAATGCTTCTGTTGTGCAGTTTGAGCAGTCAGGCTTAGAATTGAGTCATTTAACACTAGGCAACTTACAGTGTATTTATTTCAGTCTGTGGCCCTCTGACCTGTTCTTCTGTTTTTCTTTTCATCCATTCACTTAGTGGCTAATTCAGCTCATCCTGTTTGATACATCTACCATTTTAGTTCATGGAAAATCACAGGCTGTTGATCTCAAGTACATCTACCTATAGTTTGACAGTGTTGAAGTTAAAGGTACGTGCAGGCAGTCTCTGCTGCCTTCCGCTGGCTTCAGAATTAGCTGTACAGACATACCGTGATTGTAACTAACAGAGCATTTTGAGAAAAGTAAAAACAGCTGTGCTTTGTGCAGAGTGGCAAGCATCACTTCAGAGGTCCCAGGTAGTTAGCATCCTTTGGATATTTTCTCTAGATCATACCAATGTGTTGGGAAATGAGCAAGCAGTTAGTCTGGCTGCACCAACTGGTGATTAATTGATGTATGACAAGTTAGATATTGTGAGGGCCCTTTGGGAGCGAGTAAACAGTGTGGAGGCACAGATAGATCATTAAGGACAATGGCGTTGCGAGGAGTTACCAGGGGATTCTGGCCGATGCTCAACACTCAGGGAAAGGATGAGACGGATATACAGACGGTTTCTGGTGCCATCAGAATTGGAACTCTTCGCTTGCTGCTGAAGATGGGGCCTGCGCACTAATGGGAGTGTCCCGAGTGCTGTGATGTCAATTCCTAATTCAACATTGTTGAAGTTAAAATAGAGGACTGCCTTATGTTTGTAAAACATGGGCTGAATACAGAGAAAAAACAACTTCCACACATCCTGCCTGAGAAAGATACTGCACATCAAGTGGCAAAACCTGGTCTCCGATACTGTCCTAGTGGATTTTTTTTTTTTTTTTAGTATCCAGAAACCATGAGTTGTTAACCCTTTGGCTCAGTACTATGGATATCACATCCCTTCGGCCTTGATTCCATGATAGGTACCGTAAAATCTGGGAGAAATGTGGCTTTCCTGTCTACCCCCGGACCACAAGGAGTTCGTCACCCGGTCACCGCGTAGTCCGGTTTAACCAACTACGCTAGCGAGCCAAGCTTCGTAGTGGACAGAGCTGGCATTCATACTGTCAGGGTCCCATGTGGCTGTGGGATGGTTGCAAATGATGATGATAAATAGTTAACTTGTGACCGCACAAAGGCGATGAAGCAACGGGTTTTCCCGAGAGGCTTGTGCAAGATTGCGCGGTGCGGGAGTTGACCAGGGAGTTGGTGAGAGACGGACATGGAAACTGGACGTTGTTGTTTTGACCGCTAGATGTTATGTTCTGACTGATGTTAGTAACAGGTAGTTTCGGGTTAGTGTGTTAGTTTTACGGTAGAGTTAATCCTGTGTTAGCAAGAGGTGGGTGATTAGGGGTTTTCATAATAGTATTTATGCATTGAGTTAGACGTTAGCGAGGCGGTCCTTGAAGGGTTGATCAGGTTACATGACATGGTCTGTCCACTCACACTGGCCAAAGACGTGCGGTAGCACCACGGTCCAAGTGTAAGGCGTAGTAGCGTCGGAAAGAGCTTTAAGGGAGTCTGTTGGTTCGGACCCATGTCACAGCCGTAAGGCCGGTACGGTACTGTAGGGGCAGGTGGGTGACTGGGTTGGTAACGCGAACTACTTTCGCCCAAGTGAACTGCCGCATTGTTTATTGTGAACTGCATTACAGATTGTTGTGTATGCTCTAAATGTGTTGGTCGATTGTGTTTAGGAATAGACCTTTTTCTGTCATGGATCTGCCAACGAGCCTTCCTGTCCTGACGGCAGTGAAGAAGGTCTCCGACACATACCATGCTGATGCACATACAGATTTGATGGGCTGGTTACGTCGTCCGTTTGCCAGACCATCAGCTCTCAAACAAAATCTTGTGTGGTGAGATACAGAAAGATAGACGCTCTCTTGGTAGTCAGGAAAAAAAAAACGCTTCAAGGACACGCTATCTGAACAGGGTAGGTAGGCTAGAAAGACCCATATAACAAGCCCTTTACCTAGAGATACTGTTCCCTGTCCTCCTTGCCCTAGATCCTTCTAGACCCGTATTCTGTTTATAGGTCACCTCCGGATTCGCAATCACCTGTGGTTTCATGATGGATGGTCCTCATCCCTTGTGATGGACGAACAAACCCTAAGTTAGACGATGTTTTAAGTCACACACTCACACACAAAAGTCTGGCAGCGAAAGAGTTAAGCTGTAAGAAAACAAAAACTAATGTCATTTCTAAGAAACTTCTTGTTTACCGGCTGTAAATTTGAATGGAAAGTCCGGGTTGTTTGATCAAGGACTTGAATTTTGTGTGGGCAGACTGTTAGTTTTCCTCACATCTCAGGCAGATGCGC